GTGTAAGCGATGAGTGGTGACGTATTTCATCAATTAGTCGTCGGATCATCGTGTCTGAGTAATGACGCGCTCAATGAATAGTTTCCTAAACTAACTCGGTGGTGACGTCGCTACATCTAAACCAATTAGCTACCGATGAGTTTCCATGACAACTTTAGGTACAGTATAATAAACTAAATACTAAATGTTTTTGCCACTATCGAGGGAAGAGAGGCAAGATAGACTATAAATAGGTTCGTAAGATACGAGTAAAATGGCAAAATTTAGTCAACTCCGGGATTCAGAAAAGTTAAGATTTAAACGAGTACTTCCTCTGATAGTAATAATAATTCCTGACATTTTTGGAAATATTACGAACTCTAAGATTTTTCTTTTATAAAAAATATGAATAAATATTATGACTATACATAACAATATCATGTTATGTATATTCAACACTTTTCGAGTGTGAATAATTATTAATAAAGACAACATAAAAAGTTAAATTCTTACCTGCCGCATCGTTTCGAACAGGATACAAAAATAAGGAATGAAGATTATGCTTTTCTCTGTACCCATCGATTGCCATCAACGCACCAAAAAAGAATATTTGGTACATATAATCGAATAACACGGATATGGCGCTGTATATACTGAAGATACGAATAATTCTAAAAGGAGTTATAACTCCTAATAGGAATGATATAAAATTGGTTAATGAAGTTATCGTTATGGAAATAGAAACATCAGAAAAGGTTTCACTCATTCTTTGTTTGACGCTATGGTTCTTATTCGTTCTTCTCCACGCAGCTAACAAAACGAAAGAATCGTCCATTCCGATACCTTGAAAAACAAATTTAATTAACTTTTTCACTTAGGTGTATACAACATTAAAATAATACAAAATACAAACGAGCAATTATTTATTGTGACATTGTCAATATGCAACAAAAGCTGCAATTTTTAATCATATTTTTAATTAATTTAATTTAAAATACGCTCTCCATTTCAAATTAACTTGTCCTTGTACATCATTCTTCTTCTTTAATAATAGAGTCGTGCTGGTTAACTATTAACTGCTTTGAGGGAAAAAAATTGAATTGAAATAACGTGACTTTTGGTTTGCATAGGTATATCTGGTACCAGGTATAGGTAATCTGGGACCAGGGCCGTGCGGTAGATTTTCTAAGTATGATGCAAGTCTTTTAAATTCTACCCCTTAAATGTTTTTTATGCCGCTACCCTCACGATGCCGCCTGATGCGGCCGCATCTGTGCATCATAGCACGGCACGGCCCTGTCGAGACTCTAGTCTCGTCTTTCATCTTTCTTAATCTTTTATCGAGATTAAAGAAAGACGGACAGTCGGACGACAGTGGAAATGTATAGCTGTACAATTTTTTTTAAATTGCAACAATAAATTATCTGGACAAAATAATTACATATGTAAAGGAAACACTAAATTAAACAAATAATTTTTTTATCTTTCACCCTTCTTCAGATTTCCGGGATCCAATAATTTATTTATAATTGTAATAAGTATTTTTCATTGTAGTATTATTTGACGAAAATTTTTTTAAAGTCATACAGAGAGAGGATTTTGAAGCATAAATTAATTTGTTATAACATCAACATTAAACAATGTAGTTTCGTGCATATTAATAAGGTATTAGCAAATAAATATGTAAATGAGCTACTGCTTGATATGCGTCATCATGAATCATTCCAGTGAGAAAAAACTGCGAACAAAACTTTTTCTGTTGAGAAAACAGTGTTAGAACTTGGTGTTGGAGTGTATCCAGAATAAAAAATAGTGATCTGCCATATCGTGAAATTTTAAAAGCTGGCAGGAAGTAAACGTTGATCGCCAAAAACAGAAAAGCACAGCATACGTTTGATAACCAGTGGATGTTGCGATACATCAACACAAGTAAAGAGGGAATTGAAACATGGCTTAGAAATAAAAGTGTGTATTTGAACTACGCGCAGATGCGTGAAACTTAACAATTTGAAAGTAAGAGTTAAGCACAAGAAACCTACACTTACTAAATTACATAAGTAGAAATGTCGTAATTTTGCCAAATGCTGGACCCTAGAAGATTAGAAGAGGATTATATAGTTAGATGAATCCAAAATTAATAAAGTTGATTCAGATGGGCGAAAATGAACATGGACTACATTGATGAAGTCTATAACTGAGCGACATTGAAATTTGATAATGTAGTCTGGGGCTATATTACCTATTTTGGGCATGGAATGTTATGTTCTATACATAATAGAATGGATAACGTTATTTACACTGAGATACTTGTCAATTATTTGTTACAATCTGTTGATTATTACCATATTGATAGGAGCTCTTTCATTTATCAGCAAGATAATGATTTAAAACGTAGGCTTACATTCAAGAGGACAATGTCATGGCTTCGGGATCAAAATATTAGTCTTCACTCAAGCAGGCTAATATTTTGATTTCGAAGCCATAACATTGCCTGTTCCTGAGTGGCCTCTTCAATCACCCGATCTCAACCCGATTTAACACATCTGATACCTTCTTAATTTAAACGTTGGTTGTATGACTATGCAGCTTTGCATGAAAACATCCACTAATTAAGAATATAAACTAAGTATGTTCTTAGTATACTCAGTAGAATCTTACTTAGTATTCTAAGTAAGAATATATAGAGTACACATCTTTTAAAGCTCCTCATAAAAAAAATACGCGAGTTCCAGACACTTCACCACAATGTAAACACAATGTAAACTTCCACTAGTAATGGCACATACAGATATAAACACTTCCGAATTTATGTATCGTACATACGTTCGTTTGTAACACAGAAACGGATCCATTTTGTGATCTACCAAAACTGGAAATAACGATACTTTGTGAACTGCTAGGCATTTACCTACTCAATCTTCTATATAACAGCTAGTAAGAACATAAAAAAAACACTGTTGATTATTTCCTTTCATATTAGAAGTGTTGTTCTTAAATTGGAAATGCTCACTTTTAATGACAAACGTTCGTTCACTTACGTAAATACTGTATTTCTATTATTATAAGCGACGTTCTTTTTATTTTTTGCGATACTGGGATTAATTTTTTTCAAATTTTACTGCTCTTCGGAAACTTGTCACCTAGTTTTGAATTTTTGTTTGTTTACTAAATTTGTTTTCTGCATTTAAAAAAAGTTTTCGTTATTTCCTGATAAGATGTTCTTATTTTCTGCAATTCTTCGCTTAAATAGAGATAGTGTAATGAAATTTTCTCTTGCGAGATTTCAACTTAAAACAATTGTTGTTGGCATTTATAATTTTTTAAAAACTCATTGCTATTTCCTAAAAATGAGTTTTTCCTGGTCTCCTTTCTCTTGTTCCGGTGCCGAAAAACTCGTGAAAGAGCCCTTGCCAGTTCTTATATAATAGTATAATATAACTTTCTTTAGGAACCATCCAATAAAATTAATCGGGATAAGAATGAACGCGATTTAAGTTAACCAATAACAAGAATTCTGAGACGTGTTCATTTAGAATATAACTTGAATTCCATTATGTATGTTTATTGTTGTTACGGAACATAAGCGATCTGTCTACAGATATGCCTTCAATGAGAACTTCTTATGGGAAACTGATCCTATTTAAATGTTATTTAATCCCGAACAAAATTTTACAATCTAATTCCATTCTTTGATATGAAAAGTTTGCCGAGTTCAAGCAAATGCTCGGTCGCATTTTTCTTTATGTAACCTTAACATAACAGTTTATGATACGAGTTTGGGAGTTCAAACATAACGTTCAAAGGTAAAGTTTGGGAGTTTCGAGAACCAAATAGAAGAATAATATGTTCCTTTCCGATAGTATGTGTATAACCGTGATCTCAGAAAACAAAAGAAAAGCAATAATATTCGATAAAAGCAAAATATTATTAATATTACAATTGTAAAAAAATGGCATGAAGGCGATATACGAGTAAATCTATTATATACGTTTGCTATTCGTTTATGCGACATACGATTCGATACTTAATAGCCAAGTTAAATAACTTGTATGCAGCTTTTGAGTGAGATTCTTCTAAATTATACACAGTTAGCAAACTCAATATATTTCCACTTTAACAACTGATCTGATAGTAACAAAGTGTAACACTGTGACATTACATAACGCATTATGTATTTTAGATTTGATTTGAAAACAAAAATTAATCTCGTATTTTTCCAGATTAATTTTTGATAACATGTTTTAATTTTCTCCAATCGTTTCCTCAAAAGAGTGCACGTCTAAATCCATACATTCACACGTACAGTACATCAATACAAGGAAAACTTTCTTCTCGTACTTTTTAATTATTTATTCTGAATTACGCCAAAAGCATCAAGGAAATCATAATTTGACCAGTTACAGTACTTTTCCTCTGTTCCATAAAAATCAAGAAAGTAATAACGTTACAAATACAATACAGTCGGCCCCCTATAACACTGTTGATAATTCCGTTTTATATGAATTCCATGTTGTACGAGTCACTTAGATTTTAGAAATACGTGTGCCGGGCTGTGAACGGCTCATGTATTTGTAAAACCTAAGTGACTAGTACAACACGGAGTTTATATAAAACGGAATAATCAACAGTATTATAGGGGGTCGACTTCATACTGTAACCATTAAACTTACGATTATATTACAGTATATACAATATTAATATTTTTCATCTAAATATATAAAATTACTTATCCTGACCGATTGACTGATTGATTCATCATCGCCCAGGGCAAACCGCTGAACCTAAAGAGGTGAAATTTGGAACACAGTTAGGGTACGTCATGGAAACGCACACTAAGAAGGGAGTTTTCCAAATTCTCCCGCGGTGGGGAGAGGAAGAGCATTAAGGCTTAACCGGAAGAACGGCTTCTACTGTACTATTTTAGATGCGTTTTTTGTTTTCAACAACGTTTAGTCTTCATCGAGTACTTAGTGTATTAAATTGATAACATTTCAGACATTGTTATAAATATTTTTATATATTTCAATTTTTTAACCAAATGTTCGAACCGTTTTAAATTCGAATTTGTTATTGCATATTGGTTCGATTACAGAACGATTTTAAATGTTCCAGAAAATTGATCAAATTGAAANTCAGATGTTAATTTAGTATCAAAAACGTAAAATATTTGAATAGCCCAAAATATAGACAAAGATTGAAGCGCCACAGCACTGGCGAAAATTTAAATTTGCCGACTGGAATTCTTTCGGATGATTGACGTTTCGGATGATTGACTTTCGGAAAATCGACGCTCTACTGTATTAATATTTTTGATTGATGATAATTTTATTAGTGTTCTAGAATATTTTCATATGATACATTATTAATGAAATACTTGCTCGTATAATTCTGTATATAATTATACTTTTAAATGTTAGTAAATAAAGAGAGAATTTTGCAATTTATGAAACTGGAAATGGGCTACTTACCAATGGTCAGGAAGGCAACAGAAATATTCATATCAACATATTCTACATTACAGTGTAATAGTAAGCCGAAAGCAGCCGCTGTTCCTAGCAAGGGACTGAAATAGGCAGCAATTCCAATCAATGGTTTACTACTGACAGCATCGAACGTTAAACAAGACACAAAAGAGAATGATGTCATTATAACTCCAGAAATAAGTAAAAGTGGAAGACTTAACTCGGTGATTCTGTTCGCTTCTACATCGACAGCCTGTCCAGCGAACATACAAAATTCAATATGTTGAAGCTTTACATTTGATAACGTGTCCAAAAATGAGCTTTCCCATTTTAAAGCCAGCTGTTTCTGTTCTATTGAGTCATGATCCAAAAAGTAAAACAAACGGAATGCTTCGAAATCTTGGACATAACCATCGTCATCCGTTGATACTCTTCCAATATGCACAGCAGATAAACGTAGTTGAAACATATTTCTTTCGTATGGATACCTTTACGAAAAAGAAATGAAAATATAATGTTAACATTTCAAAATAAAAAAAGTATAGATTGTAAACATTGAAATCAGTTATGAGCTACAAGTTAATTTTACTGTGATTACAGAATTTCTTTCGTTGTATTTTACGTTTAAGTATTTATTGGATATTCGATTATTTTTTTAATGTTTAAAATAAATTATTAAAATCAGATATTGTATGGAATTAATGGAAGATTGGTCTAAAATAAATATGGCAATACAATATATCTGGGGATGGAAACTGCTGCCTGTAGAGTCTAAATGACTTTCTCTGGCTTTTATTGTGGCGTGATTGAAACGCAGCGAGCAAAGCGAGCATGCTTCCCTGGCTGCGACTCAAATTGACAAATTTCTGAAACACGTTTGGCTAAGTAATGACTTTACAGATTTGAATTAAACTATTAAACTATTAATAGAAGTAATAAAATACAGTGTCATGATCGAGCCGATTTTTCAAATTTTCGAATTAAATGCCATCCCCATGTTAAGTCAATGGGAAATTTTCAGAGCATGGATATTTAGATTTTAGAACAAATTTGAGAGAAATCAGGTATTTATGTAGAATGTGACGTACAGTACTTTGGAATGGTAAGTTTTGAAATGTAAACAATATGAAAGTATCCACGTTAGAGGAAGTCGAACATCTAAAAACGTAACTTAGAAAGTATGGAATTTATCTTTACAAGTGAGAAGAAAATAATCTATTATTAATTATTGTATTTTTATTCAATCTAATGAATGTTACTATGAAAACAACACTAATTCAGTATGTTTGTTTGCATTTTTTTGTTAGCCAAGAATTAATTACGTTTATAAATACTAAATATCATAAAATGATTAAGTTAATTGGTCATTAAGAGGATTTATACTGCACATAAGTTGACATACAAAACACTACATAAAGTAATTTTTTGTATAGTGTGAAAAAATTACTAATAAATACCTCATAAATCTTTTTCCACGTTTAAATTCTTTAAATTGTCTTATTAAATAAGAAAGGAAATTGCTAGGACATCGATTCTTTTTATTCCGAATACAGAGATCTTCATAGCGAAAAAAACTATTATTCCAAAATATGCTAATATTTCGAATAATTTCGTCTAATTTTACCAAATCTGATATAACATTATCATTCAAAAGGGAATCGTTGTTTTTAGATACTGCTATAAACATTCCCATATTCTCCAATCGAGCCACTTTACTGAGGTCAACGTCAGTGGTAGTATTAAAAGGAAACATTGATTCGACAGAATTCCTTTCCAGGTTTCCTCTTCCATCAATCGGACTATACAGATATTCGGTTTTCTTGACAATACGTAACTTGAAGAATCCAGTTGACAAGACAATTGTTATCAACAAGAAAACATAAATGTATAGCTGAGGGTGACAACCGATATGATATCCTATTCGAGAAAACCAACAGGTGAAGATGCTTTTAATATTCTTTTTCATCGTTATTCTGCAATAAAGTATTATAAATTAACATTGATTCATATCAATTTATAACAAATATTTTGCAATTAACAATAACGTTAGTATGTAAAGCATTCAGCGTATTAAGTTTGCAAATTGACATATTCGTTAAGATTAATACTTATAAAATACTTAATAATTATAGTTAAGAAAAACTGATATATATTTCTATTTTTATATTTAAATTTTATAATTTATAATTACAAAGTAAATAAATAAAATAAGCTGTATCAAATGAGGTAGTATAAAACATGACTCTCTTATGGCAATAAGAATTGGTTCACAACGGCTGAATAACATCAACTACTCTTTTTAAAAATATAACTGATTTATGTCCGAACACCATTTGTGATGTTTAATATCATAAACAATGCAAAACGCACTATTCTATTGACCATCGTTCTCAAAGAGGAAAACAAAGTCCAGCCACGAGTTGCGTANGTCTCTCAGACATCCAAACTCCCGAATCCAACCGCCCATATACGCGACCATTCGCATAAAATGGAAACTTCACCCAACAATGTTTCTGTGTCTGTCTTAAATGACACAGTGATGTTAGTCCTAACATAGGCATCACCGGTCTGCTGCCGACTCTCTGGTCACAAATATCATTCCCAGAAAAAAAACCGTTTAAAATTGCGTGTGGTGCCATCTGTTATATATTATTTAAAAGTTTTTGATATTATTAATTATTTTAAAATAGTAAGAAGGTTAATTCTGAGGGTAGAGATAAGTTTTATTTTTTAAAAATATAAATGATAATAACGAGTAAAATCTTCATTAAGATCGACTCTTCTCGAGATAGGACTAGTGACTTCCCTCTATCTCCTTCTACATCGAACTTTAATCACCCAAATTTAGTAGCATCAATCCCTTTAATATACAAATTTCCGTAAAAAATTTATTATAGCTTAGAAAGCATAGGAGGATTATACTACTATAGCTTCTTGCCCTTATTATTACTATTACAATTTTTTGTGTTAATAGAGGGCTTATCACACTAACTCAATTGACAATAGAAGTTTATTAATTAGTCATATATACCTAACTTATATATGTACATGCACCCATAGTATCGTGTTGTTATCCATTACACTGCTTTCTTAATTGTAGTGACAACTCACACGGCCACTCCTCTTCTGTTACGTTTAAACAAGGCTACTTGTACAATATTCAAGAAAAGATAAAAGAAAATTCATTCTAGAACTAACAATGGTAATGCTTAATCAGTAGAAATAAATGTAAGATAAAAAAGCATAAATTGGTTATTTTTAGTTAATTCTTTATACATACTGTATAGCCTATATTTACTATTAATGGCTAGACACATGACAAATGACTATAGAAAATTCTGTAATTATTTACAATCAGACTATGGGACGTTTTTCTCTTGGAAGTACTTTTCTGTTTGGAAATAAAATGTCTTATTTAAAATAATAGATGTAACGTGTGTTGAAGCAGGACTTTCAAAGCTTTTGTGTTCAGGGATCTGGTTCTTTTTTTTTTATTCCACTCTCTCACGGGCCAGCATTTTTGTGAAATTAAATAATTATAAAACGAAGTTATTACTATAGCCTATATCAGGGATGGCGAACCTTTTTTGGCCCACGTGCCATTTAGTAAGCATATTTAACTTTAAAGACGTTTATACGTGCCATATGTTTGTTACCCCTGGCCAATACGAATCCACTGATCTTTTTGTTTTTCCTTGTTGTTGTTGATTGTCAATATTCTTCAGTCGAATGTTGTATATATAGGCCTATAGGCCTATATATTTTCTTTGGCTGTCAAAGAGAGCATAAGAAAAAAATAAACATAACACTTTTGAATATTTTTTAAGCAGAGGAATAATAATTACAAAAAAATATCCACACAACCACATATTGGTGATCCCAGTTGGGGTGTCAATTCTATATTTAGGGGAATCGCTGTTCTACATCACCGTACGTTAGCGTAACGACTGGAAAATGATCAAAGGTACGAAACAGATGTAATAAAATAATCTTATATCATATTTAATAATTTATTTTACCATTTCTGTACACCTTGCATTAGAGAATTCCATGAAAATTGTCAAAACCACTATATATCGATTAAAATTTTGGCTGTTAACTTTTTTGGCTATGATATCAGCTCTTCTCAAAATCACAGGTTGAGAGCTCTGATTGAGGTTTTATGCTATTATCTGTTATCAAATAACTGTATCTATAAGTAAACGAAGTAAAGTGTGAGAAAATGTACAGTTTGTTGCAAAATTATAATTAACACACGCCACATTTTTGTAAATTTTTAAATTAAAAAAAAAACTTTGTAAATACAATCTATTATCTTATGGTCTTAATAGTATATTTATTCATTTGTATATATATTGTGAGGTCTGAAACCCCTCTCTTGCTTATATATTTTTCCGTACTTTCTGTATGAAAAACACAGTTGTAAATGGTAATTTGTATTCAACCCGAGGCGGGAGAGATAATGTCATGGTGAAAAATTACGTTGGGAAAGTGATCGACGAAGAGATCGAGATTCGTAAACATGCAATTTCTGGTTTAAATGGACAGGGGGAAAGAAGAGGAAACACTTTATGCGATAATTTATGCCAGTGTTTTTCAACCTTTCTAATTGAGTGGCACCCCTGATTGAAAAATAAAAAATCGTGACACCCTTGACCAGCGGCGGATCTAAAATCTGAATAAGGGGGTTTAATAGGCCAGATGAATTTTTTGCGAAAACAAATATTACGCGCAACGCTGGGGTGGGGTCCAGGGAGGGAGTCCCCCCGGGAAGAAAATTTAAAAATTTTTAAATTTATATCCGGAAAAAAAATTAAATGAATAACAAATCTTTTATCATTTTATTGATAAACAATTTTTGTTAAGTTTGTTTATACTATTTTGATGCATACGTGTATATAAAATAAAAATTTCATTACTTTTTNTTGTTAGGCTTAACATCGATGAAAATTCAACGCGAAGTAGGTTAATAGCGATATACTAATATACTAATTACATGGGATATAATAATATACTACACTAATAATGGGTTTTTTCATACTTTTCGGTTATCCGACTTTTCAATTATCCGACCAACCCCAGTCCCCAACTGAGTCGGATAATCGAGGCTCTACTGTAGAATTCTTTAAAGTTTCAATATAATGTTTCAAACAAGAATTTTTTAAAATATATATATCGTATACAGGGTGAGTTTTTTTATCTTGAGACAATGAAATAACTTAAAATTATCAAGGAAAAAGTAAAATTTTACTTTATATTAATGTGTGAAGTTTAAGCGAAACGCAAAATACGTTCGTTGTGGTGGTTGATGCACCACTTAACTTGAGTGTTCGTTGATTATATAAAATAACTGAAGCTTATATCTCACCATGAAAATTTATTTACAGTCATGTACAAGTTTTTGTTTTACACTTATTGAGTAAAGCTCGATCAGTTACAAGCATGCATCGGTAGAGAACATACACTCGTCGTGGGTAGCGTAGCCGAGAGAGGGAAAAATAATATGATTGACGGCCTGCACATGTTTTTTTTTACCGTCGCGCCAGCGTCACCTGGATTTTCAGATGAAGCGCTAGGTTACAATTATTCGGCCGCCATATTCGTAATATAAATACGATATAAGATATTCTTGTATAAGTAATTTATCTAGAATATTTGCTGTAACACCACATTATACTGCTAGAATAGATAAATTAATAGCACTAAGTTGGTCGAGTGATTTACCGATGTTTCGACCACGTCCAGCTATGTGTTTCTTGTTGTTCTCGTCATCCAGGGAAATGTTTAAAAATTAAGATTGAACGATTGCAAGGAAGCATATAAAGTCTGACAAATTTAGTCAAGGATCGATCGATGCTTCCAACGAAAGGAAAAATGTATAAAGACGAACGACAACGCTCGTAAGGAACGGTTTCTCCTCGAAAGGTTTCCCGTGTAACGCTCCTGATCGCTTGATCTGTGATTCATTTCTTGTTTTCCAGGTAACTCAATCCAATTCCAAAGGAACTTATGTTTGAATTTATCATCCAACGTACAAATAGACGATTTTTGGAGAAGATAAACAATCTGCTTTATTTAGTCATGCATAAAGCAATCTACCTAACAGTAAGGAATTGTATCGCCACGCCAGTCGGGAGGAAGAAATAAACACGTTTGGAAAATGAAAGTTTGCCGGACAATTCATAAGAACTATTTGTAACATTTCAAGGACTTTGAATTATAACCAATGAGGGATCGTATTAAATATTTAAAAGTATTTGTAACCGCTCACATAGATTATAATGTCTTTCTCTCTCTCTCTCTTAAAGTTAGGTAAATATAGTAGTTTGTAGATGAATTTTGATTTCATATGTCAGTGCGTTTAAACGTCTATAATAAATAAGTTTATATTTATCCTCTGTGTCATCTCTAGTCAAATTACTCCTCGTTCTTTTGGCCGAAGTCCCCCATACGACACTGCTCAAAAGTTTAAATTATTGTGAACCAACAACTGTAAGTGGTACTTCCCAATACTTCGAATATAATTAATAAAATTATTTATATTCGGTAACGATTTATGTACTTCATCCTCACACTAGTACCAGAATTTTAACGGTCATTTTAACCTCATCCATCCTGGCGGCCTCCTTTTATGAAATCACAATATCGTGGAATTCAGAAAATTTCAAATTCAAATTTAACTTAAACTTAAAT